AGTTCTTGTGTTTTTGGCAGAGAATAATATTATCCTAAAAGGAGCACTTCTGGTCTCTGCTAAAGAACACAATATAATTCAATGAATAGTCAAATGAACACAATTCCCTCGAATTTCTAAAACAACCTGTTAAATATGAGCTCTTTATTTTTTATGGTAAATAGCCTTTATTTTATTTTTTAGTTTTCTTGCATTCATTTTCCTTTTTTCTGTAACCTTTTCAGACGTCTCGGGCAAGCTGCTAATTTATTTAATATTGTGAGAGAGAAAAAAAACTTGCTAACATTTCATGAGTTTACTGACTTCAGAATATTGTGTGGATTAAAGCTGGACCATAAACAATTGTAAAGAAATTTTGTCTTTTTTTGTGCGCGTGTGGAAGGAAATAACAAACTAAGTGTTCATACAGTCTGTGCCAACATAATCTAGTCGTGGTTTGAGTGGGATCATTTTAACAATAATTTATTTTTATTTATTTTTTTACATTATTTGTACAACTTTTGTCTATTTTTTTCTGTATCATTTGAAATAGCATTTAATAATAACAATTATTATTATAATTATTTCTAATAATATTACTGCACTAGCAGAACGGATTTGCGCTCGCGCGGTTTCTGCCCTGTTATTAGAGATGATCTGAAAGGATATGAATGCGGTGCTGATTTCAGGGTCAGGCTGAGAGACCCTCAGCACGGTGTTGTGAGCACAGCCGCGTGTCAGCCTTGATCTCCGGACCTGCCTCGTGTTATAGGAGAACAGTAACGAGCTTATTCGGCCCACACGGGACTTGTCGGGAAACCTTGAGACGCAAATCAAATATCATTTCGCATAAACAGCCTCTGCGGTATACGCAATTGTTTACAATACAATAATCTCATTTACACATCGCAGCTCTTCACATCTCTATAGCCTATATATGTTCATATTTTCTAAAACCCATTTCGACAAAGTGTATCTATAAAATAAAATAATGAATTTAAAAATTTAATTTAATTACTTAATGCTTTATTTATTCACTCTTACTGCTGTATTTATCCATATATAATATCAACTTTATATTTTGCATTTGCGTCTGCATAAAAGCTCCACGAAATATATTAGTCTGCCAGATTTAACAATTTATACACACTCGTTCAAATTCGAATCTGACAGATTATAAACGAGTTTAGCATTTTTGTTAATGAAAACAATAACCTACTTATGTCAGTTAAGGCTTTTGAATGTCCAAACTTTACAGATTCATAACAACCATTTAAGTATATTATTTATTGAAATATAATTCATATAAGTAGCATTTGTAACATATTTACCCTATTATTAATATGATTTTTAAGAATTAAGATTTTTAAGCAAGTGGAAATTGGTACTTGGTAAATGAGAAAAAAAGACATTCTTATAGTGCGTGCATGTTTTAAAAATTATCTAACTAATTAGTTTATAATAATTACAATGTATACACTAATAATAACAACGTGTAATAATAACAATCTGCTTTGCAAAATCATTACATATTAAGTACGTGTTTTTTGTTTGTTTGTAGTCCTGCACCTTTGTAAATGAAGAGTCAACTGTAATGTGTAAAAAGTTATTAATACTGCATTGGTTTACAGGCTGAAGTTTCATTATTGAACTGGAATACACATTTTTCTTAACAGAGGAATTGAATTATTGTTAGTAGATTTATAGTTGTATAATGAAATAGATCAGAGATAATCAGTGCCTCATCATCACTGACACACACACACACACACACACACACACACACACACACACGCACACACACCAGCAGTTAGACAATTGAAATGTGCTGGTCTGGTTGATGTTGGAAAATAGACAGTGCATTCATGTACATTATGAGAAACACGAAAACTGGGCAGAAAGACATTTCAAGAGGAACAGTGGTGGGAGACAGAGAGAGAGAGCGAAAAAGAGATCTGACAATTGCCTTAACTCTAATGAATTTTTTGCAAATTGTAATCAAGGCTGGCCGTGGTGGCTGACAGATAAATGGGCCCGGGGGGGATTGGCTCGGGCCTCAGCTTTTCACTCCAGCATGTCCCTCCTGCACTAAATTAACAGCGTCAAATTAACCTCCAATGATTAATCCTGATGGAGAGCACGGCTGCAGGATGACTGAAACACACATATGCTGAGAAGTTTCTCTCAGATTTATATTAAACAACAAAGTAATAAGAGGAAGACAAGGATACATCTGAACTTTTTGTAATACAAAACAATTTTTCAAAGTAATTTTAACAGGCGTGTTTTTATTAAATGAAAACATTTTTAATTATGGCACATTTATTGTAATCATAAAGATGATTTATGATTTTTCTTTTCATTTATAGATCTGTATATTGACAGAAAACCTACATATAAAACATCAAATACCTAATTCAGGATTTTATTGAATCCTTTACCAGTTATAAACAAACTATGTCTGTGATTTATGTGAGATCTAGATCATTTATCACAATAAAGCAGTGTAGTTTATAGATGTTGATTTTTGCTTCTTTACCCTCATAAATATAATTAGGCTAATACGGGAAAATGCCAATATTATTATTTTACAGCAACATGCACAACAGCTAGTAATAATTAAATATAGTTTTCCAATGAGCGTTAAGCAGTCAGTTTCTGTATATAGGGGAGAGTGGTGTGAGATGTAACACCAAACAACAATTATAAATAAGCTACGAATATGAAAACACTGTCATATATATCATATTTACAGATTCGCTGTAAAATATAAAGGATTTATCGGACAAAAAAAACGTTTAAGGTGTATAAGTAATTACAATTTCATGTCTGGCATATAGTAATTCCTGATCATGTCAATGGATGTTAAATGACAGAACAGGCATCATCCAAAAAGATTTTTGTTTAATTTGATGTATAACAAATACATTTATATATTAAATAAATGTGCAATATATTAAATTAACTATTTTATCAACAAAAAAAAACAACATGATCATTTTGAATACAGTTTTCTTTTTTGGACTGAATTTCCTATATTTTGGCCATTTTTAATAAGGGTTTACAGTAAAATGAAGACGGGGCACAACCATTTAAAATTGCTTTTTTTCTTTCATTTCTTTGAAGTGTCACTCTTGAAATTGGGTGTCAAGTACAGCACTCTTTGCACGTCACATTAAATAACCCAATTTAGAAATAGATTTCTTAACTGCTTTAATTTGTATTGGGATTCTCTCAAAGTTTAAGACACTGATTTAACAGATGTTAACAAAATTTAAGATTGAAACAAAATGACAACGCACCCATCTATGTACGCCAGGCTTAGAGGATGTGATTTTCCAGCTCTTTCTCTCTGAACATTTGGATTATCATCACAACATGATGGTGCAGCTCACGCCTCATTGCAGGGCTTCTCTAGCATTTCTAATGCCATTATTGTGTGTTTGAGAGGGACACACACACACACACACACACACACAATCATGATAGATGAACAGCTCTGTTAATGCACTGAACCAGTGCTTTGCCTCATTGGATTTCTAAGTGGAACTGATTTATGATGAGAGATGATCAGAGTAGATATGGACAAGATGCTTCAGGGTTTCGTGGTTCTGGACCACCACTGAGATTTTAAGGATTCATTTCCCATGGCTCCTTTAGCCTGTCAACCTTCAACAGCTTACAAGCTGCAAATGTTTGTGAAAGGAATTATAAGAAAACAAACACACTTCCTGTCACTAACTCATAATCACGCTCCCACTTCCCCTCTCAACCACGAAACATTTCCTCTTTCCATAGATTGCTCTTTTTTCCTCCCTCTGCCTTTCTGCCTTGTCTAATCTCTTTAATTACATCTGTTTTCATGGGCTGCCGAGGCCTCTTTTGTCCTCCCGGTCAGGGGGCTTTTGTGGGGGCCGAATCAAGCCCTGCATCCCCTCTTTGGATGCTTTGTGGAGCTGCGGCTCTCTTCCTGAGAGGGAGAGGGTGAGAAGGGGATTAGAGGATCTTTATCTCATTAGAGAGACAGTGAGCCGGCAGGGTTCGGCTTTAACGCCTTCATCTGCACCGCGGAGGCCAGAGAGCGGACCGCACCCGCTGTCAAACCCTAACTAGGCGTCCGGGAAGAGCAAAACATGCATGGGTGTGTGCGATCAACTTTACTTGCCTGAACATTTTCAGAGAAACACAGTTGATTTGTATTTGAGATCTGTAAAGTAAAAACCTACAGAGATACTTTGAAGAAAAAGCCAAAGTATATGTAAAATAAATATTGTGAATTATCTATTTAAATAAAAAATACACATTTATATAAAAGCTTACATACAAATATGATCTATCTACTCATCAATGCTTAATAATACTTTTATATTATTACATGTACTTACTGTATACATAATTGATGTTTAAATATTATATGAAGTACTTGTCAAAAGTTTGCACTTATTTTAACATGTTTTTAATGAAGTCTCAAGCATTTATTTGATCAAAAATACAGTAAAACATTAATATCGTAAAATATCATTACAATTTGAAAATACTATTTTCTGTTTGACTATTTAAAAATGTAATTTATTTGTGTGATACAAAGCTGAATTTTCAGCATCATTACTCCAGTCTTCAGTGAAATCATTTTAATATGCTGAATATGAATATATTTTACTGTATATAGCCTTGATACTGTGTAAATAAAAATATATAATACAAACGTAACATTTTATTTGAAGGTGTCCTTGTTACACGTTACATGTACTTACTATAGTATTAGCACAAAATTATGCATAATTACATGCAATAACCCCAAACCTAACCCTATGTAAGTACATGTTGTTAATTAATATTATTCAGTACTTAAATGTATAATTACACCGTAACAAGGGCACCTTGAAATAAAGTATAACCAATATAAATATTATGAATAAACATATTACAAAGTTACTTACTGTGGGTGTATTTTCTTTCTCCTTGAACCCATGTAATTTGGTACAACACAAAATAAAAGGGTAGAAATCAAAAAGAGAACATTATATTAAGAAGCTTTTTATTGAAAAGAGACACATACAGTATAAGACTCTGCATCAGGTATAATTTTTCAACACTGTACTGTACAGCTGACACAAACTCAATATAATAACAATAATAATTAGAAATACAACACCAATAATTCGAATCAGAATGATAGTTGTGATGCCAATGGACTGAATAAAGGAACGAATGCAAAACCCAAGAAGTGTGAGAGAGCTCCTCCCCTTTCAGATTAGCATATTCATAAATAATTAAACGGGTCTCTTGGGTTTGAAGGTAACATGGAGACGGTCATTGAAATGAGGTAACAAACAAAAACAAGGTAAAAACACTATGTTTTTCTCAATTTTTACATCTATTTACACAAAGCGACGACTGGCGAATGGAAACGCAAATAAAACTCAGGATATGTTCAAGCAACTTGGAACGTACTGATAAAGCCCCCTTTAAGTCTGCATTAATTGCTTGCCAGGGGTGACGTGATGCTTTGGTTGCTGTTACGGTATTGGTTGGATTTTTGTTTATTTTGCTCATTCATGCTTTCTTTATTCAGTTACAGATGGACAGATGATCCAAAAAGAGGTTTTCCCAAGGAATTACAAAAGAAGCAGATGGGAGGACAGACTAAAAAAAAAAGAAAAAAAAAAAAGAAATGTTCACAAGTTGATAAAGTATTTTTTCATATTAAAATGGCAGACTCTTTAGCGTCACCTGTCAGGGTACAGTCATTTTTATGAAGACGAAGACAATTACACAAGGAAGAGAACATTTACATCCATTCATGCAAAAAGATCAAAAACAACAGTTTTTCCACAAAAATGATTCAGAGTGGACATTATATTGTGGGTTCTTCACAACAAGTGATCTGTGTTCTGTAGTGCATTTAGTCATAAATAATGGTTATTGTGGTAAAGCCTCTAAAGGCCTGCTACGCTCTATATACACACACAAGGCGAAAACGGCACCCTTATGAGCTGAAAATCAACATACCTCAACGTTTCTCTCTTTTCAACTCTCACCGCTTTCCTTCGAAAGCTCAGAAAAACTAGTCAAGATTCTCTACACAGTCCCAAATGTCTATCAACTAGCTTAAAGACTTTCCAGATCGTTTGTATTGCGGAATATACATTCTACAACACAGATCTTCTCCCATCTTCAACCCTAAGCCAAGTACCTTCACATTTCTACTACCTAGTGAAGAGTAAAATCAATGGGAGCTGAGATTAAATGATCAAAGCCCATCAAATCATATTATGGAATGAGTCAATATCAAAGCCTTCATGGGATCTCCAGTAATGATATATACGCCCTGAGACAGAGTCTTACATCGGCTTTACGTCTCTCAATAACAACGGCAGCTCAGATTGCTGTGGTGACGTCCAAAACGCAGTGAAAAACTATTACTCATGTGTCTACCTGGCTGAATTTTCACTTCGTATTGCTTTAATACTCCTTGACACATGATAAAGGAAGAAGACAAAGGCAAAGAGGAAAACTAAGATATCTACGATTCAGAGAAAGGGAGCAGAAAGAGTGAACTCGACTCAAACAGGCACACTTGCAACTTCAGACTGCACTGAAACAAGAAGGGTGTGAGGTCAAAATATATAATAACACCTTTTGTCAGGGGGAGGGTTTTCTTGAAATGATTTTCTATTTAGGACACTACTTAGAAAAAAAAATAGATTGAGAGAGAGAGAGAAGGATGAAGAGTATGTACAGATCGGGACTGAAGACCCAGAGAGCCCTTCTCTTCTTTGAGATACATGAGGTTCAGGACTCTGCAGTGTAAAGTGTGTGAACAGCAACAGACGGAGATGACCTGAGAGAGGCACGTCACTGTATGAAAGCAACGGCCACCGTAAGCAGACTTTACACAACAAAAATCCTGCGTTTTCCTGATATTCTGTGGAGATTTTCATGATGAACACTTGAGGTCAGACTGAGCTTCAGCCCTGCACTTCTAAATTCTGGGTTATTTCACTTCTGAAATGTCTGCACACTTCACTGTGAGCTCAAGTAAAGAGTGAGCTGATGGATGGGCAACATATAAGGCTAGATTAATGTGTTTAAAGATAAAAAAAAATCTGCTAAATAAAAACGCAATTCCCTTTTACTTCTGAGAAACATAAATCTTAAAATACTTGTTTTTAAGAATCTTCCGTTGGTCCAGTAACGAGCACTTAAACAAACGCTACTCAACAATGTTAAAACCAAAACAGTTTAAAAGACCATGTCAGATTCAAACTTAGGACTCAATATTTGGGTGTTTTCCAAAAATAGTCATTACATCCTTTCACATTCCTTTAAAAAAAAAAAAAAGACATAATGGACATACTTGATGTAAAAGACTAAGAACAGATTCAAAGAAAAGTCTGCGAGAATGAGATCAGACAGAAAAATCAGCGTCAAAGTGTTGAGACACACATGTCCAGACACACATGGCGACCAAGTGAAGTTCTCTGGTTCTTCTGAGTCATTTTGAAGATCCAGCGTAAAAGTATCCCATGCTGCCCCATCATTTCCTGTCTTGCTTGGTCATCTATTAGAGACAGGGAACACTGTGACACCTGCTCATCAGTTACCAAACCCACACTCTATTCTCCCATCATGCACTTGGTAGCTTAAACTGGCGCAGTCAGAAAACCAAAGTCCGGGATTGTTTAAATTTGTGTTCCACAATGCAGCGAGACATTGGATGTGGGACACTCTCCCAAAAACAAAAAAAAGATGGATGACACATGATTGGCCAAGACCTTGCCCATGACAACTTTTTCAACCAGTTGGATTGTAAAGCCAGGCAAACACAGTAGCTCTGCTCATGCTTCTTCATCGTCATCATCAGTGCCTTGAGTCTGGTATAGTCTCATGATTCTGATGTAGTGGTGCAGCTGTACATATGAAGGTGTGTGTAGGGAGGGAGGAGGAGTGCTGGCCAGAATACATGTTCATGTGTATGTGAGTGTACTTCTCATATAACTGCACTGTTCATGCTGCTGCAGCTGTTATTGCGGTTATTGTTCCTGCGTGACAGGTTTGGGGTGGCCATGAGTGGGTAACGCTCATCAGGACAGCCATACTGCAGGAGGACGTCCATACACTCCTGACTGTTAGCCTGCCGTGCGTATGCCAGTGCCGTATTGCCGTGAGCATCCCGTGCCATGATGTCAACGCCGTACTACAGAGAGAGAGAAAGAACGTTAGCAAGAGAACATACTATTATTATGATCCTAAGAACAGAAAATTACATTTAAATAGTGAGAGTAAATGAGGGAAAGTCTGACGAGCCATGTGCTGTCAGCTGCCATGTGTTATAGCTGCGCCTCTGCATATGCGTCATTCAAATTTTTATTTATATTCATATTATAAATATTGTTTTAATATTATATTAACATTTTAATAAGGTCCCTTACCTTAACACTTTCAGCAAAGAGTTATTGAACAATGGGGTAGTTAAAAACTAGATTTGAACAAACCGAACAGAAAGAAAGGCTTAACAGTAAAAATCAGATAAATAGATACAGTGTTGGGGAAAGTTACTTTTAAAAGTAATACATTACAATAACGAGTTACTCCCTAAAAAAGTAACTACTTGCAATACTTAGTTACTTTTTATGGAAAGTAATGCATTATGTTACTTTTTCTCATCTGGGCTTGGCCTGCTTGTATGTTTTTAATATAAAAAAGTTATATTTTTGGCATATGTAAAAGCCCTTTCACACAAAAAGTGAAACGAATAAGCCTCATTTAACTTACTTAACATATGTAATTATTGCAGGTTTGCGTAGTATTCTGAGTTTATTGATTTTGAGGAATACTAAATCTGCTTTTGTGCAAGTGAGATAAGTACATGCATCTTCATATTTAGTCTAGAACTACAGTAACTATTGTATTTACACATTTCACACAACGCCTCTGCACTTACTGCTGATTTTTCTCAACATGGGAACAGGAGAACTGTTAGTCAATAAATGGGAAAACAAATAACTGGCGTTACTTATTTGAAAAAGTAACTCAAGATATTTTACCGTAAATGAAAAAGTAATGCATTACTTTACTAGTTACTTGAAAAAAGTAATCTGATTACGTAACTCAAGTTACTTGTAATACGTTACCCCCAACACTGGATAGATATATAAATATTTAAAAAATGATCTACATTAGTCTGATACAATATAAGAAAAGGCTTATTTCTGCCCTTTCAAAAACCCTTATCAGGTATTTATCATTCCATATGCACATTAATGTTTGATGCCTTCCCTTGAAATTTGTAAAATACTTGATTAGAACCATATAGCACCATTTATTTGGAATTGTAGTAAATGTACAAACAAAACACTTTATGAACTTATGTACAAATGTTTTTGCTGATGACCTTTGTTGACCTTAATTCCATCATACAAACACCAGAAATGTTAAATATTGTAGCTAACAGTCGTGTCTGTTCCATTTTTTATTATTGCTGAAATTAGAGAGCTGAACTTGCTTGCTAGTCAGCCGACAGACCAGATGAAATGTGTTCAGCATATTGAATTGACAGATAATCGAACAGACCATTCAACTGAGCCCCTTTGAGCTTTTCCAGCTTGCACATTTGTTGTGAAAAGGTCTTTACTCAAAACCCACACCCTGGCCATTAGTTTGTTGTGTGTTAAAAAAAAAAAAAAAAGTGTAGCTCTTACCCATATGAGCAGTTGCGTGATCACAACATTCCCCTTGCGGCAGGCCAGGTGTAGGGCTGTCCGGCCATCACCTTCCCCACAGGTATCGTTGACCTCATCTCTGGAGCCATGGGCCAACAGTATGACCACGAAGCGCAAGTCTTCCTCCGCCGTGGCCCGCAGTAACTGCTGTCCCAAAGTCAGCTCTGTGCATGTCAGCGACGCCAAAAACAACTTCTGCTCATATTTGGCTCTGATCCAGCGCTCACGTTCCTCTCTGAAAGCACACATACACACAGAAACCAGATTTAGGCTCAAGATTGAATTAATGCTGGCCTGTCAACACATGGTTCACACTGGTGGCATGTTTTGATCTCGCTCTCATTCCAACTGACATTTAAAATTTGATGGGATTCGTGTACAGCTTTTTGATTTTGTTCCCAGTCCTGCGCCAAACATTTACTAGCTCTCACATCTCTATTACACACAGCAGCATCTAGACCTTAATACACTAGAAAATATTATACTGAGCAGAACAGAAACAATATAACCACAGCAGACATTCTGAATGGTTGCTGTCTGTGTGCGTAAATTTATGTCTCACTTTATGGACTGTAAAGGCCGCAATACACTCGCATCAAAGATCAGTTTTGTTCCTTGCTCGCTTAGGGGTAGGGATGAGCAATATGGTAAAAAAATTATCACGATAAAATTTTTCATATCAGTCGATATCGATAATTATCACGATAAGTCTTTATCTCTTTCAAATTTAAAGATCGGTTTTTGGTCCTAAGTGAAAGTTGTAGAAACAAGACCATTAATTGTGGGTTTTAAACTACTCTTTATGGTCAGAACAGGACAAACACTTCACGTTCTTGAATTCTTTACACTTTTGCTGTCATTTGTCCTTAACAAAATAAATATCTTAATAGAAAAATGTACTTCTTATTTTCTGCATGTTCTAATGAGTGAAAAATCATGAAACAGGTTTGTGTTGCCTGACTTTGATGACGCATATTTTTAGCACAGTTTGCAGTGCAGGCTGCAAAATTAATAATACTACGCTTTTTTGTCTCTTAGAAATGCACATATGACAGTAGCTTGAATTGACAGTAGTAGTAGCTTGAGTTAGGACGCAGATGTAAATTTAATACAATGGCAATTTGTATATTGAAAAGCCTTCTGAGTGTATCGTTGCACACAGTGTTTTCTCCTGTTTGTCAGCGCTGTTTCATCTGGCTTTAAACTAGTTTAAATCACTGAGCCATTTGTGATAGAAACGGTCCGGTTTTGGCATGGTTAAAAAGAGTAGCACAGTTTTGTTCCACTTTTGTAACATCAGCATTTATAAAATTTTTGTTATCATTTTATCGAGGAAAATTATATCGCAATAATTATCATAATCGTTTTAATGCTCAGCCCTACTTAGGGGTAAACATTTTTTTAAATACTTGAGAAGTGGAATATTTTTTTAGCAAACATCCTGTTGCCACCCATTCTACTGGGGGTGGTGATTAGATGAATATGCGGTTTGTGCTTTTGGCTCAATAACAAAACATATGTATAAGTAAATATATATAAAAATGTCAGAGGTGAGAAAACAGCAGTTAAGAAAGCATCTGATCATAGCGAAGTGGATATGTTGAACCAGCTCTGCAATTCAGCACTTCAGTCAAGTCACATCATGTTTATTTATATAGCACTTAATACATGAGAATGTTTTAAAGCAAGCACTTTACAGTATTAAACATGAAGAAACAGTGTTAGCGTGGCTTTCAATTAAAACTACAATTTAAGTTTTTACTATAAAGCAGATCTCCAGTGTGTTCATATTTTTACTTGCATGCGTCTTGCGTATTATCACAAAATTTGTGGACAGAACTTGTGGAGAGTTTCTCTTTCAAATTCCCAAAATGAACTCCAAACTAATGGTTTGGCCTGATTTTGTTTGTGATGTCACACCAGTTCTATTCTGCTTGTAAATCAGGGCCTTAAGAATGAACAGGTTCAGCTAAAAACAAACAGAGAGGACGCACTGAAGTGGCTGAATGAAGTGGCATAAAAGTTTAAGAACGCAAGTGTGCGTTTGACAGGGTAACCATGAACAGGAGAGGGCCATCAGCAATCGTTGGATCATTTACAGCATCCCCTCCTCAAACTGCGCTATGATAGCACTTAATCTCTGTTAATCCCCGCAGAGTAAACAGCCTTTCTCAGACAACTCAGGATTAGTTCAGCTTCAGCTCCTATCTGAGGGGCAGAGGGAGTTCTGATACCCCCAAGGAGGGGAAGGGAGTTGGGCAGAGGATATTGAGCTGTTCCCTAAAACACAGCTGCCCCTCAGGGAGTCCAAACCCATGAGAGCAAAGAACAGACATCCTACCGTCACAATTCCTCCTCAAAAGGAGCATCTGGACAGGAACAAAGTGGACAGCCGATGATCACAGACATAAAAACAAAATTCTATCTTAAACACCAATGAAGTCACTTCCATTTTCAAATTTTGATGAACAGACCTTGCATTAGACATTTGATTTGATATAAATGAAAACTAGTTGTGATGGAGAAGTATAGACTAGGACTTGTGGATGTTTCATCATCTGAATGATCAACACAATTCCAGGAAAAGATGCACAAATGTACGATGAACTGTACTTCTATGCCTCACAACAGTTTTACATTTCTCTCAAATATAATGAACAGTAGACATGGAGACTGGTTGCACAAATTAGTTGAAAAAAAAAATTGTGTGCTAGTGATAGGCCATTTGTTTAAATTGTCCAATATTTAATATTTTACAATAATAAATATTGTGTAAATAAAGCGTAGGGTTAAAAGTTTTAATGTAAATTTAGTGTGAATTTTTTTTATTTTTTTTATTTTTTAAATAAAATGTTTTGTATATCTATTTTTTTTTCATGAGCATTATATATTATCAATATTGAAAGCATTAACATTATTAACAGAAGTACCAGAGATGTATATAAGCTCTCAAATATAGTCTTGAGCACAGGCGATCTTGGAATCAAAAAGGTCGAAAAACATTGCACTAGTGTGTAAATCTGATCTATTATTGTAAATGCATTAAAAACCACCAATTACTTTAAATAAACAAAAATGTAAATAATAAAATAGATTGCAAATATCATGCTTAAAGTGATAATAAATTCCCCAATTTATTTAATTCCAAGTTGATATGGTCAAACCACTGCTCAACGTCACAGCCATGATGGGCTTTGAAAGATGAACTCAACTGACTCTCAAAGGGTTAAACTCAGACACCCTGATTACAAATTAGCCATGTATGGATGTCAGGGGCCAGAGTGCAGAGGAGATAACATTTTATCAGAGAGGCAGATGGATAAAAATAGGTAATCAATAGCCCAGGGGATCGATGGTTTAGTGACATTCTTCTTAATCAAAGCAGCAAAGCCATGCTGACGGACCTGAACCCCCCACAGTGCACTCAAAGATTTTCTGTCTAAGGTCACAGCTAGCCTCACGCTTCACAGTCACAAGTGCACACACACACAAAAACATGGCAAACATGGGAAAGAGGCAAGTAGCAATCACCTGTTGATGTCAAACTAACGTCAGACATTTGACTATAAGCATAACGTCTGGTTCACTTTGCTTTACTTTGACACTTAAGATGACAGGAAAGGGCGGTCCAAGCGATTTGTAAAGCGACCAATAACAGTTCGCTTTCTTATGAGACTAGTCCTGCTATTTTTTCAGCGCACACACACACACACACACACACACACACACAGTGTCACAAGATCCTTCAGAAATCAAATATGCTGGATTGGTGCTCAATTATTAATTATTAATAATTATTATTAGAGCCCGACCGATATATTGTTTTAGGTATAAATATATCGAAGGCTCATATCACCCTCATATTTTTTACTCCCTAATATCGGTATCGGCCCCCCAAAAAAACCCATATCGGTCCGCTCTAATTATTATTATTATTTTTTCTTATTATTAATGTTGAAAACTGTTTTTGCTGATTAATTCTTTTTTTTGTAAAAACTGTGATACGTTTTTTCCAGGATTCTTTGATTAAAATAAAGTTCAAAAGAAAAGGATTTATTTGAAATGGAAATCTTAATATAAATGTCTGTACTGTCACTTTTGATCAATTTAATGCATCCTTGCTAAATAAAGTTAATTTCTTTTCCTTTTAATCTTTCTTACCCCAAACCTTTGAATGGTATTTTGTCATGGTTTCCACAAAAATATGCATCAAAAATGCAGCAAAAATGTTTTCAACATTGCTAATAATAATATTTCTTGGGCACCAAATCAGCATATTAGAATGATTTCTGAAGGATTATGTGAGAATGAAGAGTAATAACTGCTGAAAAACTTGCTTTTACTGTACATTACAGGAGTAATTGACATTTAAAAAATATATACAGTGGGTACGGAAAGTATTCAGACCCCCTTGCAATTTTAAACTGTAATAACATTAGACACTGTTACTGTTCTTTCTGTATTTTTGAACAACTAAATGCAGCATTGGTAAGCATAAGAAAACTCTTTAAAACAAATAATCATTCCAAACTTTTGACCTGTAGTGTATATCAAAGTCCATGGTTGAGAATGATGTCAAACAGAACAGGGGAAAATGCAATGAAATGCAATTCATCCAAACCAATTATATAGCACTAAAAAGCAGACAGTATCAAGAAACTTAAACAGAACTTCCAGCATTGATCATTTGATTCACTGTAGGAGCAGTAGAAAAAACGCAGGAGGGATGAAAGAGCAGGAAGGAGAGACGGTGAAGAGATGAGTCCAGAGGACGAGAGAAAAGCTGCAGCTTCTGTGGGAAAGTCGAAGTATTTTATTAACTGTGTGTGTTTTGAGAGGGGGGTCTAGCAGCACGGAATGTTCCGGGTGCTGCTGGTCAGCCCAGGGTGAGTGAGAGGGCTGGCACGAGGGCCACGGACCACAGCCCCCACACAAAGCATCCTGGGAGCCGTGGAGGAGGGAGATAGAGGAGGGGAAAACAGAGAGGAAGAGGCCCGGCAGGGTCTCCCCACTGCCCCTCTGTGTCTAGAGGAAATGTGGAGCACTTCACTGCCCTCTGAAACGCATGCCTTCCCCATTTAGCAGCGTTGCTAAGGGCCAAGCCCCGCTGGCTAATGAAAAAAATAAATAATAATAAATAAAAAAAATTTTTTTTTGCAGATAACCTTTTAAAATGTCAGTTAACTACAACAACAGTGCTCAAAATGTTTATATATAAAAAGAAATGTAGCTAAA